TTTTTGGTTTCATTTTTAGTGTTTTTTTTGTTTTGTTTTTTTGAGTATGTTATCTTGTGAGGTTGATTAAAGTAATAAAGCTGAAAAAACAGTTTAGTTCAAAATTGATGCCTAATTAATTACACAAATTTTACCCAAGTTGACATGTTGGCAAATTGGAAACATGACTAAGCAAGGGAGATCCAAAACTAATAGAGGTCCCTGATCCAGAACTGGTACTATTCCTGTCACATTACAGCATCCCAGCAAAGTCTGCTGGTACAACGTGATCTGATGATAATTCGTATGTATTTTACGTAAAATGTGGTTCTATAAAACATACATTTACGTATGTTTTTACAGGCACTAAAACGCACAATACTGACATATTTTCAGCATCTAAATGTACAAATACTTACGTATTTTCAGCATTTAAACGTACAAAACTGACGTATTGACGACACCTAAAAATGAATCCTTATGAATATTGAAATCGCGGCATTAATTTTATTATTAGTTGTTTTTAGTTGTCATATCAATTACCTTGTTTTCAATTGCATTATTAAATTGTTTACTCGTTTACTTAATATGAAATGATAACATTTAGTTTTGTTGTGGGATTTCTGCTGCAAGCTCGTTTCCAAGAATAGACCTACATAATGTTTAACAAGACTACACTAAAATAAATAACATTTCTGCAATCGTTTAACCTTTACTTGTAATGTTTACTTTGTTTGCCATGGGCCACAAATGGCATTTTCTCCGACATGCTGTGACTGACAATAGAACTATAAAATACACCAAAAATGCAACATAATTACGAAATGAAACAATTTTATTCGTGCGCTGTAATCCAAATCTTCCGAATCCATACGCTACTTATCCATAAATCCATGAATCCATAAATCTTCCGAATCCAAGCCTTTATTCGGCGATCTTCATCTCCATCCTAAGCAGCGAGTCCAGTGACCGTAAACAGCAAAGCCCGCGCTGACTAACGCGCTCTTCTTTACAAATTCAAATGTTGCCGCTTCAAACGACAGGTTTTATGGCAGAATAATCAAACGCTCATTGGCTCTCGCCTGCATTCGTCACAGATCGCATGCGACATGCCGTGTTTCTGGTGAGGTGTGTTTGAATGATGCGCGCGTGCCTTCACGAGTTCACAGAGTGGATCGGGAAAATAATCTGGAAAATATTTTCAGTGATTAACAACATAAATTTTCCTGCATATTTCAGTCAATTGCGTTTTATATCCTTTTATATTCGCTATAAAATGGGTAGGTTTAGGTTTGGGGTAAGTTAAGGGGTCTAAAAATCTAAATCGCTTATTGATAAAATTATAAAAATGCATATTCGCTATAAAATGGGTAGGTTTAGGTTTGGGGTAAGTTAAGGGGTCTAAAAATCTAAATCGCTTATTGATAAAATTATAAAAATGCATATTCGCTATAAAATGGGTAGGTTTAGGTTTGGGGTAAGTTAAGGGGTCTAAAAATCTAAATCGCTTATTGATAAAATTATAAAAATGCATATTCGCTATAAAATGGGTAGGTTTAGGTTTGGGGTAAGTTAAGGGGTCTAAAAATCTAAATCGCTTATTGATAAAATGATAAAAATGCATTGATACGAATATCTTAATGATACAAAAGATACGTAAATATTTTTAAGTTTTTAGCTAAAAATACGTAGCGATTTGTACGTTTTAAACGTTGAAATACGTCTAAATTGTACGTTTTAGCATCAATAAAAACGTACAAAAATGTGCGTTTTGTGCTTGTAAATATTACGTATTAATACCTACATTTAAACATGAGACTAGGCTGGCTGGTAAAGACTCATGAGCCATTCCTCTTTCTCTCAGAGTCTCTCTCTTTCTCTGAGGTAATGTTTGTCTTTCAGTGTATATCACCTTGCTGTATTTCATTGCATTTCTCTCCTGACTGGACTTCTCACCCTCTCATCTTACCTCTCTAGAGAGGCCCAGTCTGGGAGACTGTCTCACGGTTGGCCACCAGCTCCTCTTGGTCTGCACATTCATAAACTCTTGAGTGCTCATATCTCTTATTGTTTTTCTCTGTTTTCTCTCCTGCGTTGAATGAACACATACTTACATAAACACAGTTTCTAACCCGACATACTTCCTCCGAAGCCGATGTGTGTGTTGAGAGTGTTTCAGCAGTGTGACGGCTCCTGTCTGAGCGAGACATCCATCTGTAATCGGAGTGTCCCAGGCACATATCAGATCTCTCACAATATGCATTTACTTTACACGCCGCTTTGTTCTTGCAATTCTGTAATTACCAATTAGATTAAAGGGGCCACACAACTTGACAAAAAGGTACCATTTTGAACTCTTTAGGGGTGAATAAGGTGCGAATATGTCCCTTTGAGCATACAAGCTGTTCTGCCAATAAAGGTATAATTTCTATTAAAAAAAAAAATCCTGATAGTGTATCAGCATGCTTATTGTTATATTATTAATGATAATAAAAAAGGGCTTGAGGATTGTTTGAGAGTTTCTTTTTCCTTGATAGCACAGAAAGAAAGCTTTAGCAAGTGGCGGTTCATCTTTTAACTTTTATAACTCGTAACTTCAGCCTCTGTCATTTAAAAAGTTTGTGTATGTGCGTGTATTTCTCATGGAGGCCTTTACTGTTCTTTGTCATTTAGATAAACCACTTCCTGACAACTGGAAACAAAAATCTATTTATAACTTTGCGTGTCCTAATTTTACACTCACTCATTTTGTTCTCCAGAACTATTTTTGCTACTTGGTTGTGTTTATTCTCCCCCTCACAGTGTCACTTCCTGCCACATGCTGTGTGTGCTAGGGGAGCTTTGTAGTAAGTTTATTAATGTCGCTTGAATGAAAAGTGACCTGCACATCATCGGCAGTCTTTTCGTTTACTTTGCTAATCTGAATATGCTGTTAAAAGTTTTCTCTGTTTTGCAGACTACTAGTGGAAATTCTCCTATTCTGATGTAATACAATTTGTCACTGCATGTGATCAGCATACCAGTTTTACTGAAAAGCTAACACACATTTCAAATGCCTTTAATGACAGATGCATTAACTTTTGTGTCAAACCTGACGGTCATGTTCTCCAGTATGATTTGGCATGATACAAAGAGCCTTGGAAATGGAAGCAAGAATCTGACCATCTGAACAAAGAGTCACATGATCAGTGTCACTAATTTTACTTTTTTTTTTTTTTTATTAGTGACCTACAAATTCATTTTATATCATCATTTTTGTTTTCATTTTTTCACAATCCAGAAACATTATTTTCACGTTTTGGTAACATCCCACATTCAGTGTGGACTCCGCACTGTTTGATACAGCATTTGTAATTGTTTGGCATTTCTTCTTGTCACAGTGTTCCTGTGATATTACCCATCAGCACAAGTGAGTTCTATGCAAAAAAAAAAAAACACACATGGAAATGAGTGTGGACAGGGACATCTGGTACACAAATATGATTATGCAATGGGGGAACACATGCAAGGCAAGATGCAAATACAGTACTAAGAGAAGACCTTCTTTTGTTTAATTTTGTTTAGGAGCATTTTGAGGTGGTTCAGCCATACAAGGAAGGACTTCAGTCACTTTCATTGTTGATACAGTAACTCTCTGCTTTTTATTCAGTTAGTTAACATAAAGAGTTTTTCAAACTGGTGTCTGGGGACCCTCAGGGGGCCACCCTTTAAAAAAAAAGTGTGCTTAATGGTACTGAATGTGCACATGTAATGTATTTCAAATATTAAAAGTATTTCAAAAAATACTTGCAGATAAAATAATATGAATGAAATAAAAGGGTTCTTATTTGTACTTAAAGAGAGCAAACTTTCATCACTGTTTCTTATCACCCTTTTAAAAAGTGCACATTGTCATTTCAAATTAAATGTTTTACTTTAAAGTACATTTTAAATCATTATGTTTTCATTGTTATTTAAAGAAGTACACTTATTTTGATGTGTTGACTAACATGCTAAAGCACATGCAAAGTACTTGGTTATTTGTTATTTTATATTACATTTAATATACTTTAAATGTACTAAATTGCAACTTCATCATGTGTGATTAGAAATATTTTTTAAATGCATGATTTACAAGTTTCAGTAGAAATGGCCTTATTACCTAATTATAATTTTTTTTGGTTTACCATACATGTTTCTCAGTAAAATCAACAGTACACTTTAACCATATTTCTAAGACAACAGAATTATGAAATTGCATATGTACTTTAGTCCTATTTAAAGGGATAAATCACTCAAAAATGAAAATTCTGTCATTTACTCACCCTCAATTTGTTACAAACTTCTATGACGTACTTCTGCAGAATGCAAAAGGAGATATTTTGAAGAATGTGGGTTTTTGCATAATATTGCACTTTTCTCATATAGTATACATGTGTCTTTATGCAAGCAGATATACAGCTGCCTTACTATTTTAAGAAGGAGATCATATATTTATATGTGTGGGTCTTTTTTTTCCTGTGTAATGTGTCTGTCTCTGGGAAAATGTTCCTGGGCTCCTCAGTGATGTGTAATGTTGCATCCAATCAGGGCTCTTTTCCAATAATAGTTTTGTTAAAACTGGATTGATTCTTCTTTCCTCGCACGTCTTCTCTTAAATAAGAGCAAGGATGTGATTCAAATGAATACCAGCACCCTTTACCATATCAACAGTCTGTAAACTAATAAGCGTGTCAAGACCGGTGAAAGCACACCACTGTAAACAGAGCCCTACAGACATGCACATGCTCACACATACAGACAGTTAGACAGGATAAAAACTTGATGAGTATTATTATTATTTATTAATCAACAAATAGAATTTCTTGTTAACAGGCATTTAAGGCTTGAAAATTGCCATAAATAATAATGATCATAAATCGTCTGTCTGGATACGCAATAAACTTGGATTGAACTACGTAGAAAAGCAGAAGTTTAAAGCTTTTAAAGCAGAGTTTAATTGTGTAACTGGACAAAGATTAATTGTGTGTCTTTCCCTGCAGACCCGTGTTTGACAGTCATCCCTCCATGTATGAATGAAGCCGACCGCTTCAGTTTAGAGGCACTTCGGCACATTCACAAGCAGCTAGATGACGACAACGATGGAGGAATTGAAGTGAATGAGAGTGTAGAGGTGAGCATATGTTGTTTAGACCTGGAAAATGTTTGCCTTTCATTTAATACAATAGTACATGTGTTGGAGTGTGGGGGCGTGTTTGTGTGTGTGTGTGTGCATTTTGTGAGTGGGTCGGGGGGGCTTAAAAACAGGTCAATGAAGCTTAGACCCACCAGCGACCTCAAAGGGCAAAGTTGACATTGGTTCTTGCCTGCAAAAAGAGACTATTGACATATGAGCACTTCACCCAGAGGGCTACTACATGATTGTGTGTGTGTGTGTGTGTTTGTGTATACATGATGAAAAATCAATGCATATTCATATAGGATTTGCATATAATTAGTTTTAAATATGTTAAAGGCTTTTTGCATGGTATAATAGGCATGTTTTAGTGTCACTTGCATATGCATGGCTTCCTAAACGTGATCTATGCAACACAATCTGTGCCAGTTAAATATAATCTTGACTGTGACATGATTTAAGTGACTGTGAATGCTAATTGCCATTTTGTCTCAACACAAAATGTGTTTAGGTGAATTATGTTCTAACAAAACAATTTAATTTTATTTATTTAATTTTTTTTTTATAAAATGAATCCACAGCCATGAATACATTACAGTATGGTTAATTTCATTTATATTATCATGAACTAGCAATGGACATTTTTACAGAATTTATTAATCCTAATTTAAGCTAATTATTATTAAAATTAATAGCTAATTCATGTTTGTTCATGATACATTGAGTAATGTCAGCTTGTAAGGTTTAAATGTTAAAAATGAATTAGTGTGTGTGTGTGTATATATATATATATATATATATAACATTTATAAGTGGGATGTTGAGTACTATTTGCCCAGTTCTGTAAGGTTAATTGCAGTAAGTTTTTTTTTTATACTTCAGTTTGAACTTTATTTTGAAATTTGTAAATAATTTTAAAAATGCCTTCAAAGTTGTGAACAGTATCTTTAAATAGAACATTTAAGAAGTCATCCATCCATCCATCCATTCTACAGTATTATCCAAACCTTTTTGTCCTTATTAGGGATACAGGGAGCTGGAGCCTAACCCAACGTCTTGAGAAACAGGCAGGGAAACTCCCCTGGATGAATGGCCAGTCCATTACAAGGCTCACACATAGATTTTAAGAAGTCATTTTTATTAAATTTCTCTTCTTTTGATATAGCATGAGTTGAAAATGTTCAGTTTTACTTCAGCATAATCAATGGCACAGTTTAACTCCATGTGGCTCAACTTACCCTCTCCCTAGACTCAATTTACACCTCACTGGGGGCAAGTTGAACCAAGAGACCACTTTTTTTTTTTTTTGGAAAGTCATATTTTGAAAGCAGTTTATTTTGGATCCAAATTGATTATTCCCAAGGACGCACCACATCCTGAAATTTACGTGCATATTAAAGTTGTACCCATTACTGTCATGTGCTCGCTTTAAACACACCATAAGTAAAAATTGGCTCAACTCACCCTGCTCTCCCCTATATATATATATATATATATATATATATAGC